TTATTGTTAATTACTAACTTTTTACATATTGTACCTAGAGAGGTGTATTTTTATCTAATTTTGCAATTTACCGGACCTTACATAAATACTGATGCAGATTTAAAACATAATTATTATTTTGGAAAGCAAAATATCAAAATTAATATTAAATTTAATTGTTATTAACAATTATTTAAACAATTTTTTAACCAATTGATATAGTTGTTGAATAAATAATCATGGGAAGGTGGAAATTGAATAAAAATCCAATGTGTATTGTCAGTGTAGCGACGTTTCGTTGGTTAAGGTTTGCCAACCTCATCAGGCTGAATTTATTAAAAGACTTAAAAACGAGGTGCGTAAGATCGACTAACTTCAAGTGTAGAACTTTTTCTTGATTGGTTATTTTTTCAAAATCCTTTATTCCTTTATTTTGATTGGATAAAATTCAAAATCCTTTATTTTGATTGGATATAATCGAGACGACATTACTTACTGATGTCAAAGCAGCTAACTTCAAGTGTAGAACTTTTTTCTCATTGGCTGATTTTTGGCTGATTTTATAATGAGTGTTCCTCATTGGCTGAATTTTATAATGATGGTGACCTCACACTTTTAAATTTTCGTTTTTCTCTTTTTTAAAATTAAAATTAAAATAAATTAATTAAAATTTATTTATTAACTAAAAGTTAACCAAAAGTAGTTTAAGATAAAAATAATTTTTATTTATGATTTGGTTTGTAATAAATGAAAAGTTTTTTAATAATAAAATATATTTAATTTTATGATTCTTTTTAGACGCTTCAAAATTGTTGCGCGCGCATCTTTTTTTCCAAACAATTGTTTGTTCGCTACGTAACCTCACCTCAGTGTGAAACGCATAGTTTTTTTGGTTGGTATGAAAAATTACAAAATATTACAAGTGTCAGCAACTGTCAGCCATTCGCAAAGTGTGACAAGTGTATCGTTTCGATAAGAAGTATTGTCTGTTATTTGCTGAGTGATTTTTTTCTGAAAGTGTTGATTGTGAATATTGTGGTTTTGTTTTTTTGTACATTTGAAAAAAGTTGCAATTTTTTTGTACATTTGAAAAAAGTTAAAGTACATTGCATACGTTACGTACGTAAGTATTAAAATTAAAATACATGTAAATACAAATTAAATTTTTTGTTAATATTATTTGTATATATATTTATTAGGAAGAGTATTAATTAATAAAAAAAAAAAATAAAAAAAAAAAATAATTAATTAATTTAATTAATTAATTTAAAAAAAAAATAAAAAAAAATAAAAAAAAAAATAAAAAAATTAATTAATTAATTAATTAATTAATTAATTAAAAAAAATAAATAAATAAAAAAATAAAAAAAAATAAAAAAAAAAATTAATTAATTAATTAATAAAAAAAAAATAAATAAAAAAAAAAAAAAAATTAATTAATTTATTAATTTAATTAATTAATTAAAAAATTAAAAAAAAAATTAAAAAAATTAATTAATAAATAAAAAAAAAATTTTATTAATTTTATTAATTAAAGTTAAAGGTTAAAGTTAAATACATTAATTTAATTAAAGTTAAAGTTTTAAAGTTAAAGTTTAAAGGATACATTAATTTAATTAAAGTTAAAGTTTAAAGGAATAAAGGACATTTGCCTGTTATTTTGATTTCTAAATGTAGAATATTGATTTTTTAAATTCTGATGTTTGTACATAATTATATTATAGTGGTAATAATTATTATTTAATATTGATTAATATTTGTTTTTTTAAATCTTAATTATTGATTTTTTAACATTTTGTTTTTTAACATTTTGGTAGTTAGTTATTATTTTGGAAAAAACTTTATCAATATTAAAGATGTACTAAAAATAACATGTGATTACGAGATACCAGATACTTGATAAACAGAGATTTAGTCAAGAGGTACTGGATTAACAGATACTCTATTAACAGATACTAGATTAACAGATACAAAACAGAAAAATTTACCAAAAATATACTTATATTTAATAATATTAATAATATTAATAGATGAAGATACATTCTTTACATTCTTAATAATCTTTAATAAGAAAGGATAAGATAAAAATTCCAGTTACTGTTAAATGTGACAATAGTAACATTACTTACATGTGTTCTGAATTAATTAATTTTATGAAAAACTATTTTTTAGAAGCGATATCTTTTCAATAAATTGAAAGAAATCATGTCGAACAAGGAAGAAACTGTTAATTTAAGTGTTACAGATTTTAATATTATACTTACTGAAGGAGGAATGTTAAATGATACTCATATTGATGAATTCGAAAAATTATTGAGAAGGGAATCAAATTCTGCTTTTAGCATGCAAAGCACTTTGTATTTTTATACGCTTGAATTTATTAGTCCGATTGAAAAAGGTAAAAAGCATATTCAAATACTTTTTAGTGGACCTATCAAGAAAGGTCATTGGATTTGCACTTATTATGATGGAATGAGACTTTATATTTATGATAGTCTTAATGAAGGATGTTTAAATGAAGATCAAAGGAAATATTTAAGTAGATTATATCCTTTTAAACCTCCAGTAGTTTTCACAACTGTTGATCAACAACCAAACAATAGTCTTGCTTGTGGAATATATGCAATAGCATTCGCAACATCGATATTTTTTAATATTATGCCCTACTCTGTCAATTACTATTATTATAACATGAGAAATCATTTAATGTTAATGTTCAAAAACAATCGTTTAAGTAAATTTCCGTCAGTAAGGTCGACTAATATTAGAACTATGACTGTTGAATGTAATTGGGAGTGTCTTCTTAGGAATCGAGCTAGAGAAAAAAGTTTCCAAAATGAAGAAAATAAAATTGTTGACAATAATTTATCATCGTTGAATTCAACCAGCAATGTTTGTAAAAAAAATTTTGTTGATAGTTGTTTAGAAGATTTGCCTTTAATTCCAGCAAATGATGTTAATAATATTTCTATTGATTCAAGCAATGGAAGGAAAGATACAAGATTAATAATAACTGAGAAGCAAGGAGAAAAAAGAGCTATGGTTCATTTTCCTGAAGAAGAGGAAAAATATAAAATCATAAAACGTCAAAAAAAAGCTGCTTATCAAAAAAAATATCGACAAAAAAAGCGAGAAAATAATAAAATTGTTCGCTCTGAATCATTGGATTCTAATGAATTCATTAGTGCAGAGCAAACTTTAAATACGAGACCCCAAAGCACATCTACAGCTTTATCATCAGCAGAAGAAAATATTTCTACTTCTAAAGTTAAAACGTCAATTCGTGACAGAAATGTTGCTTACAAGCGCACCTCTCGACAAAATAAACATACTTCTGTTCAAAAACAAAATCAGTCTGATATTATTTCAAAGTCACATATAGAGATGGGTTATTGTAATGAAATGAACATTACACGTGATCATTCTTATGTAAAACTTTGTGAACATAAAGTTAACAGTGAATTATTTATAAATTCAAAAACTAATGATGATTGTAATGATTCAAGAAATGTTACAAAATATACTAATTTAAAAAATGAAAATCAAGTAAAAAAAAGATCAATAATACGTTCTTTAGAGGAAGAAGAACAACATCAAGTCATGAAACGTCAAAAGAAAGCTGCTTATCAAAGAAAGTTTCGACAAAAAAAACAAGAGAATAATAGAATTCTTAACCCTCAATCTCTTCAAACAAAGAACAGTATTATTACAGTGTCAAAATCAAATATAAATTCAGAAAAATCCTCTACAACTGTTAATACATCTTTGTATGCAGAAAGGAACGATACTCCTTCATTTGGACAGTTATTTATTGTTGATCAAAACGAAGCTTTCGAAATTTGTTGTAAGAATAATGTTCAATTAAACCGAGATATTGTTGATGGAATTGAAACAGCCCTTCGGGATTGTAACCTATTTGCACAGTCCTACCGTATGATGCATGAAAAAATTAAAAAAACAATGACTGAAAATAATGCAAAAATTTAGCCTGAGATGCAATTATTATTTTCATTAAAGCCTGGGATGGATAGTAGACGTTATAATTTACAAAGTGTCAATGAAGTTGCAGCAATTTTTACTACAACTGCTGATGCTGATATTCCAGAATCATATGTTACCGTATATAATAAGAATACAAAAAGTTTACAATATATAAGTTCTATGAATCCCAATGTTGAGCCATGGATATATCCTTTATTTTATCCACATGGAACAAGAGGTTGGGACAAAAATCTGACCTGCGCTAATACAAATAAACGTGTATCAAGAGCTGCATACATCAGGCATAGAATGGCTTCTAGGGACAACAATGTATTTTTAAAGGGTGGTAGATTATTTCAGCAATGGATTGTCGACAGTTATGTGAAAATTAAAAAGGTAGGACAAATTTCTGTCCAAATAATCAAAAGAAACTTCGTGCAGATACTTACGAAGGTCTAATTGATCATTTACAAAGAAGAGCTGATGATTCGAACAATGAAGTTGGGAAAATTATAATACTTTCATCATCTTTCACAGGTTCTCCGAGAAATATGTTACAGCATTACCAAGATGCAATGGCTATTGTGAGAAAATTTGGTAAACCTGATCTTTTTATTACGATGACGTGTAATCCAAACTGGCGTGAAATTAAGGAAAATTTATTACCTAACCAAACTGCCTTTAACAGACCAGATATTGTATCGCGTGTTTTTACCATAAAAAAAGATAAATTTATTAATACTATTGTAAAGGAACAATTATTTGGCAAAGTAATTGCTTATGTGTATGTCATTGAATATCAAAAACGTGGATTGCCGCATATGCATTTATTAGTGACTTTGAAACAAAATTATAAAATAACAACACCCGAGATTGTAGACAAATATATTTCGGCAGAAATTCCAAGTCAATCAGAAAATGTTATACTTCATGACATCGTTATGAAAAATATAATTCATGGCCCATGTGGAAATTGGTGTAAAGATAATAATAGTAAATGTTTGAAAGGTTTCCCAAAACAATTCTGTTCTGAGACAATAATGGATGAAAACGGATACCCAACGTATCGCTGCCTTAATACAGGACAATACGATCGCCTAAATGGAGGAACTACAGATAATCAATACGTTATTCCATACAATCCTACATTACTTCAGTTATTTAATTGTCATATTAATGTAGAAGTAGTTTCAAGTATTAAATCCGTAAAATATTTGTATAAATATATTTTTAAGGGACATGATGCTGCTGCTGTAGTAATTACCGATAGTAGTAATAATACAAGTTCTTTAGAATATGATGAAATAAAAAACTTTATTGAAACTCGATATGTTAGTCCTGTTGAAGCATGTGATAGAATATTTGGTAGACCATTACAGAGTAAAAGTCATTCTATTCTCCTATTACCTGTTCATTTAATTAATTGGCATACTGTAACCATTAGTGAAGAAGCAAATGATGATGCTATAAATGAAGCTTTACAGAAACGGACTATGTTATTAGAATATTTCGATTTAAATAGGCGTGATTCACAAGCTAGACAATATACATATGCAGAAATTCCATGTTATTATGTTTTTAAGAAAGAACGTGGTGAAAATGCATTAAAATGGATGAAGCGTAAAGGGTCATTTAATGTCATTGGACGGATGTATTCAATTTCGCCCAGTCAATCAGAACTGTTTCATCTTAGATTACTTTTAATAGTAGTTAAAGGCGCTACAAGTTATGATCATCTGCGAACTGTCAACAATATTGTACATGACATTTTTCGTAGTGCATGTTTAGCATTAGGCCTTATTGAAGATGATGGAGAATGGGAACGTGCTTTGACAGAAGGAGAAGTATGGATGATGCCACAACAATTAAGACGTTTATTTGTGCGTATTTTAATTTATTGCCATCCAGTTCATCCAAACGAACTTTGGCAAAAGTTTAAAGAGGCTAAGTCTGAAGATTATCAGAAAAATTATCCATCTAATGAAGCTCATAAAAGAGCATATAATGATATAATTAACTTTCCGTTGCATGAAGGATCAAATATTAGCAATTTTCCTGAAATGATACAGTTAAATGAAATAAGTATTGAAACAGAAAATCAAGCGAACAACGAAATGTCATTGCAACAACATAAAGAGATTGATGAAATGCAATATGTGAAACTGAATTCCAAACAGAAGGATATTGTTGATGAAGTATTAAATGTAGTTATTCAAGATAAAAGAATACCATCTTCTTCATGTTATTACATTGATGGACCAGGTGAATCCGGAAAAACTTTTGTTTATACAACTTTATACCATTTGTTAAGAAGTAAAAAAATGTGTTTGTACTATGGCATTTACAGGCATTGCCGCAATATTACTTCCCCGTGGTAAAAGTGTACATAAAACATTTGGGATGCCTGTTCCATTGTTCTATGATTCTACATCAAATATTAAAAGTCAATCTAAGGAAGCTACATTTTTGAAAGAGGTTGATGTCTTTATTTAGGATGAAGCTCCAATGGCGCCAAGATATGCTATGGAATTAATTGATAGAACATTACGCGATTTTATGAATGTTGATATGCCATTTGGTGGAAAAACTATGCTTTTGGGTGGTGATTTTAGACAATTATTGCCTGTTAAAGTTAATGCTACTAGAAGCAAATTAGTTAATTTATCTATTAAATCTAGCACATTATGTAGTCATTTTAAGGTGATATCATTAACAGAAAATATGAGAACTTTACCTGGTGAAAAAGAATTTTCAGAATATTTATTATCAGTTGGAAATGGTACTTTAAATGATAATGATAATAATATACTAGCACCAGAGCAATGTGTAGAAAATGGTGATATCATTCATAAAATATTTGGAGAATTAATTATCAATAATAAATACGATGATTTAGCAAAAGTAGCAATATTGTCTGCTCAAAATGTTGATGTTGATGAAATTAACAACAAGGTACTCGAACTGTTTGATAATAAAAGTGAGCGAATTTATACAAGTGTTGATAGTACCGAAAATTGTGATAATGGAAGTATAAATGATGCTATTTTACCAGAGTATTTGAATACTTTAAATCCATCAAATTTCCCGCCTTATGAATTACGATTAAGAGCCAATTGTATTGTCATGCTACTTCGAAATCTTAGTATCAATGAAGGTTTATGTAATGGAACGCGAATGCAGGTATTAGAACTATCAAACAATCTGCTACGTTGTCGTATTTTAACAGGTGATAAGGTTGGAGATATTGTATTTATAAATCGTATTACGCTGTATTGTGAGAATATTTATCCTTTTACTTTCAAACGACGGCAATTTCCTATAAAATTAGCATTCGCAATAACAATAAATAAAAGCCAAGGACAAACTTTTGACAAGATTGGTGTAGACCTTCGTAAAAATGTATTTAATCATGGGCAAGTATATGTTGCATTTTCACGAGTTAAATCTTGGGAATCATTAATTATATATTTGGGAAATCAAAGACCTAATTTACTAATCAAGAATTATGTTTACACTGAATTATTGAAATAAAAGTAAATATTTTTTCTATAAAAATGTCTGAGTCGTTATATATTTTTTTTTCTTAAAAAAGGAGTGTGTCTCAGTATGGCTGTCTTTACGCGTAAGACTTTCTTCGACGCTTCTTATTGGTAAATTACGTCATTTTTTCGTAATAAGATTCACACGTAAGATTTCTTTACACGTTTCTTTCTTATCAATTGGTCAAAGACGTTTCAAATTCCTAATTTCAAATAATAGTTCAAACTTCAGATAATTAAGACACTTATTTGTATGTATTTTAATGTACTGCCAACCAGTTCATCCAAATGAACTTTGAAAAAAGTTTAAAGATAATATTTCTCAAGATTATTAACGAAATTTTGCATCCCATGAATCTTATAGTAAAGCATATATTGAAATAAATTATTTTCTTCGAAATGACGGAGTACCTACATTTTTTGTATAATATTTACAGACACCACACTTATATTTCTTTTTTATAGCAAAAGTACCCTCACAGCACCGGGATATTCAGGATATCCCAGAGACGTCCTGGGGATATCGATTTGTTTTCGGAAGTTTGGATATCCCTGGATTATCCTCTGGATATCCATGGACGTCCCTAGGATATCCCAGAGATATCCAAACTTCCGAAAACAAATCGATATCCCCAGGACGTCTCTGGGATATCCTGAATATCCCGGTGCTGTGAGGGTAGGAACGATTTTAAGAAACAAAAGTAAATTTTTAATTTAATATCCTCTGTTTATGGCTTTCTTTGACAGTAGAGATGTTTTTTTGCTAGCTAAGTGAAAAATAGTTGAAAATTGTTTATTTAGTAACGTTTTTCTTTCATCACTATTTTTTAAAATATAAATTTACTATGGAAGATTTTAAATGTTACAAAATTTAATTAACAAATAGATTACTTTGATTATAAAAAGGTTTTCTATAACTTTATCGTACAAAACTTTTTATAAAATGTGCCATTCTTGAAATATACGCTTTTCTTTAAGCAAAGAAAAGTGTTGTTTTTTTTATCAAAACCATAAACTTTAGAAATAATACATTTAGAAACAGATAAAAACAGAACTAGAATTGTAAAGGTATAAAAAATTGTTTTACGCACAACATAGGCTATTATTTTATTAAATTGAATAATATTTAAAAATTCCTATTATCAGAAACTGTTACTCAAATTGATACCTTAACAAACAAAAGACTGTAATTTAAAGAATAAAAATGCAAGAGAAAAAACGCGCGCGCGGCAGCGCGCGATCGTTCTCGTTAAAAGAAAAAACACTTCAATATTTATAAAGATCTAAAGCACTATTTTTATAAAAGTAATTACAATAATATTATCATACCTAATTCATTAAAACATAAAGGCACGTTTTAACTTGTCAAGAAATAAAAACAATAAATAGATAAATAAATAAAATACAACACATGTTCCACTTTAAATAATTAAAAATAGAATTAAAATTTAAAAAGGAAGACATTTTATTACACTGTCTCAGTGTTAACTGAAATAAAATTAGAATTTAACGATATAAGAAAGTCAAATTGATACGAGAAGGGGCAATGAACTTATATATAAACACAGGTTGTCAGGAAGTTATGTTATTGTTGTGTATCATTATAGACAAGAGTCTATACATCTGAGAAGAGGAAAGAAGGTTTTGTTTAGAGTGAAAATACGAAAATACGGACTACCAAAAATACATAAAGAAAATGTCCCACTCCGCCCTATTATTTCTTTAATAAACAGTCCTACTCATTTTCTTGCTAAAATTTTATATAATTCTTTAAAAAATTGCATACCTTTACCTCAGTCACACATTAATAACAGTTTAGAACTCAAAAATAAATTGAATGATATTACTATGGACGATACTTATACTTTTATCTCACTTGACGTAAGTTCCATGTTCACTAATGTGTCTTGTGAACTTGCCACTCAGAGTTTGGATAGACGAATTAACCGATGGGTTCTCCAATCTCAGCTTTTGTCCCTGATATTGTTATGGATGATCTGGAAACTGAATGTTTAAAAGAGTTAAAAGAAAAACATGATTGTGTCCCTCTGTTCTATTTTAGATATGTGGATGACACAATCTTAGCAGTTAAAAAAGAACATGTTCATTTGGTCGTTGATACTTTTAATTCTTATAATCAAAAACTACAATTTACCGTAGAAAAAGAAAAAGAATATTCTAATAAATTTCTCGATTTAAATCTTGTTAGAGATAATAATAAAATTAATACAAATTGGTATCAAAAACCGACTTCATCGGATAGACTTATCAATTATTTTTCAGATCATCCAATTCAACAAAAAAAGAATATTGTATACAATCTCGTCGACAGAGCGATTTCATTGTCCAACAAAAAATTCCATTTTGATAACTTGAAAAAAATTAAAACTATTTCGAAAAATAAAATAACTATCCTATCGATTTCATTGAAAATCAAATAAAAATTCGTATGAACAAAATAAAATTTTCTGATGCAAATAATAATAATAAAATTTATAGCCAAACTCCTAAAGCTTGTCTATCTTTCAATGAAAAATGTTTTTTCAAGTTGTTAAATATTCTCAAAGAGTTTCATTGCACTTCTATCCCCCTCATAAATAAAAACTCTAACTCCATCATTAGACTAGGTAAAGATTCGACGAAAAAATGGGATAGAACTAATGTTGTATACAAGTTTAATTGTAAAAACTGTCCTGCAACATATATTGGCGAGACTAAACGATCATTACTTACTCGCATAAATGAACACAAAAAAGTGAATGACAACTCTGTAGTTTATCGACACCGAACCAATTTTAATCACGATTTTGACTGGGAAAACACAAAAATCTTGGACAATGAAAAAAATTTACAAAACTACGAATATCTGAAATGATCCATATTAAAACTAATCGTTCCACTATCAACAGAAAGGAAGATATTTTCACTCTAAACAAAACCTTCTTTCCTCTTCTCAGATGTATAGACTCTTGCCTATAATGATACACAACAATAACATAACTTCCTGACAACCTGTGTTTATATATAAGTTCATTGCCCCTTCTCGTATCAATTTGACTTTTTTATATCGGTAAATTCTAATTTTATTTCAGTTGACACTGAGACAGTGTAATGAAATGTCTTCCTTTTTAAATTTTAATTTTATTTTTAATTATTTAATGTGGAACATGTGTTGTATTTTATTTATTTATTTATCTATTTATTGTTTTTATTTCTTGACAAGTTAAAACGTGCCTCTATGTTTTAATGAATTAGGTATGATAATATTATTGTTATTACTTTTATAAAAATAGTGCTTTAGATCTTTATAAATATTGAAGTGTTTTTTCTTTTAATAAATTCAGCCTGATGAGGTTGGCAAACCTTAGCCAACGAAACGTCGCTATACTGACAATACAAATTGGATTTTTATTCAATTTCCACCTTCCCATGATCATTTATTCAACAACTATATCAATTAAATTATGGAAGGATTTAACTCTACTCAATTACTAATTTTTTAAACAAGTTTGCTTTTTAAAAAAATTTTTTTTTCTTTATATAATCAGAAGTTTATTATTAGCTCTGAAATAAACTTAAATTCGTTGTTTTTAGGGTTCCGTACACCTACGGTGTATCGGCGGAACCCTATTAGTGAGACTCTTGTGTCCGTAGCCAAATTGTGTCCCCCCCCTGGGGGCTAAACCATTTGACCTAAAGAGCTCAAATTTGGTCCAGATATGT